ACATCATCAGCACAAACTTCAAGTAGATATTTAAATACATTAAACTACATAACCGTAGCTATAAGTAATGATGTTTTATGATTACCATAGTATAAATATCAAAATAGGTCTATGTATAGACTGTATTAGTAAACAGTGCAATTGAATAGTTATTTACTATTTTTATTAAGTATGATCATTAAAAGTTTTAATCAATTGATTAAGACCACATGTAAAAATATTTAATGAGTGAAAAATAAAGTATTTAATTAAGCCACCTGCCAAGATCAGAATCATGACCTAGCAAGCGATATTAAATGATAACACCAAGGTAATACATAAGAGTGCACAAGTATGGACTTCAGCTGTTTGTATCTATGATTTGAAATCAAACGAATCCCCAAATTGATCTGATTTCATAAAAAATCTATCACAGTAATAGTCAGTCTTAACTAAGCAACTTGATTTTATTCCATTGTATGTGTTTATTCACTTATCAAAGCGAATAAGAGTAAAGATTAAAAAAATTAGCCGATCTGAAATAACAGTTGGTTTTGTTTGAATGTCTTCTGTCAGAAGGAAATCGATAACAACCTCTCAGACAATGATTTTGTTTCTGTCTGTTCACCAATCAAGTCATTCTGAAAGCATATTAAAAAAACGTTTATGAACGTTAGAGCTTATTTTATTCTTTAGTTATTCCCCAAATGGGTATTTGCGTTATGCGGTTTTATATAGTGTAGAGACTGTTGGTGATAAACCAGATACTATGAAAAACAATTCCTAGTTCGCGGAGTAAAATATGGGTTGATAATGAAGATATGGGTTAAAACGACTTGGCTCGGTTACATCGAGCATATGTCATTATTTATTTATTGAATTAATACCTTCCTATATTACTTTAATTAATGAAAATCATTCTCAAGCGGACACATTTTACAGTCTTAACCATCATTATTGCTCTAAAGAGATCAAGTATTTTGAGGCACTATATCTATTTACAAAATTAAAAGTCTGAACTGAAACAGCATCATAAAACATCATCCGAATTAAACGTATTGTTGAGATCGTAATGAGATAACGTTCAGCATTTACAAAAGCACCTTTGATTAATTGGCTTGGTAAAACTCCTTTTAATTATATACTTGACAGACATTATGTAAAACCCTGATCTTTTTTATCTAAATAGTCAAATATCGAGACAATTCGCACAAGAGACATATATGCCAATTAGAGACTGATCAATTGCAGTCCTTAATATCAATGAGAAGATTCAAACAACCAATACAAAAGTCAATTCATAACAATGTTTGTTATCTTTCGATTCTGTACAGCGAAATGTAGAATGACCCTAATCACTTTATCTTCATAATTGGCCGATGAATGTACTATATCCTTATACACAATCTTTCTTTTATATATTACTACCATTGAAGTAACTACCTCTACGAATTTGGTTTTCATCTTGTTGTCCTATTGAGGTATGGCAACTTGGACGGATGCATATATGTGCCTGATTTTACGTTGTGACTGACTGATTGATGAATATAACAAATATTATTGTATATATTGGCAATAAAAGCGTAATCAGACGCTAGTGTGTATCTGGTTTATGAATGATTTTTACGTTTTTTTAGGTTTGTGATCTATATATCACTTAAAATAACGCTGTCTTTAATGTAGTACCTCATCCAAGAAAATCTAATTTATTGTTACTAATAAAGCTCTAAACAGTTTTAAGATTGTTTACATACATACATTTGTCTGCAAAATAGTTGTTTAACGACAAAAATGTGTAAAAAAAAACCCAACGAATTAGGTACTTTTCATAGATATCTTTATCAGTTTGTTCATCCCAGGCGTGTTCGTTATCCATTTCAATATTCAATCCCATGAGAGAAAAAGATAAAAGGTTTTCATTCATTCTTATTCACAGCAAAGTATATTTAAGGACAGTACGTATTTCGTAGTAATTGAGTTCTAAAAGATATTATTTTTTTTAACTCAATAATATAACAACAGACTTATTCACATTGTGTCATTAGACAAATGATAGTGGATATGACTTTCCAAATTTTACAACAAAACCTGTGAACCACTACTTCGAAACCTGAGTGATTTCGTAATATGTTCTAAAGAAACAAAACTTATCATTTCCTTTTATTTTCCTTATGACTGCCAATTTTAAATTAAAGAATTCCTAAGTAAGGCACAAATTCTTGTTACATACGAACGAAAAATGAATAAATTATCGGTCTTTTAGGCTATATGAATAATTAAAAGTGAGTTATGGCAACGACCGGTAATTTTTTCAGTGGACAATTTAAAGACCCACTTCATGAAAATAGTTTCACACATACTGAATACATTTTGTTAGGAAATGCGCCAACAATACAATATTCGACTGAAAGTACATCACAATAGTGAATTTTCAGGGTGAGACATTCTTATCGATTATTATCTGTTCAAAACTAAGGTATCAAATAACAGTAGTAAGTATTCACAGACTTCAGTTCAAAACAGTTATGGTATGTACTGTTTACTACAAATTAAGATGATTTCTTGAACTTATCGGGTAATAAGCTGGATGTTTTGGGATTGACGGTGAACCTAGTCGTCATGAATCAGAGAATAGTATTAAATAAAGAACAACATAAAACTAAGGAAAACAAAATTTTATTTAGTTTATAATAGTCCGAAATATAACTGCATTATTAAAATGATATTTATAATGTATACCTTAAAACATTATTTTGTTATTGGAATTAGAAACAATAGAAGGAACTAAATAAACAAAAATGCATCATGAACAAAGGTGGATGATGGCTAGCAGTGGAATCCAGGACATCCGTCTCGTCCTATTTAGGTCTCGTTGGCTGGATGTATCTGCATCCCAGAGTTGGTCTACACTCCGGAACTCGAACCCAGTACCGTTCGCTCCAAACGCTATCACGTTATCCACTTAGCCGCTGAGTTCCACTACTAGCCACTATCCATCTGTTCTTTTAATACTTGTGACTTAATACAGTATCGAGGCGGTCCGTACAGGATGCACATATGCCAATTAGAGACTGATTAACAGCAGTCCTAAATCACAATGGGAAAGCTCAAACAAGCAATATAAAATGAATTGAAACAAGAATGCAGATTAGTGTAACACATTATAAAATACACATATTTTGTGATACAAGTAACTAGGTAAGACGAATTCAATGGATTAATTGTTCATAAGTGTGATACTTCGAAATATAATAGATAAAATCTAAATATAACTAAACATATTATTTCTGTGATAGACATTTGATCATGTTGCATTTTATGACAAATAAATACTTGGGTTAGTTATGGTGAATTAATTCATAGGCATTAACCTAATCCTTTTATATCGTATGTTTATCAAACAAGCATTTTCTGGATATACGAATACTCTTTTTATGCAAATATGTTAAATTTTACTTAATTGTAGCACTTGAATATTTCCAGTTTACAACGAATAAAAAAATAATAGTTACCATTTCGGATGTCAAGCTTATATATATATATATATATATATATATATATATATATATAAATTCGATATTTTTATTATATAAAGATGACTGTTGACAACAAAATGAATGTCAGACTGAATAGTTTTATACCGCTTGTATAATAATAACTCTATATAACTGTTTAACGTTTAGATAACATGAAAAGAAATCAGTTTTGTATTTAGTTGCTATTAAAGACAAATATATCTTAAATAGATCAATTGAATATTATTTATATCTTGTTTTTTCTGCTTTCGATATCTCTTAATAACTTGAATGATTAGTTTATTTTAATAGTCTAATTTACTTTTGAAGTGTAATTAGATAGAAAAATAGAGATGAAGAGTTTTCCTGTATTGAAGTCTCCTACTTTATTCTTGTTAGTAGACGTATTAAGGCTAAATCCTTTTGGTGAATTGAGATAATGGAAAAACAGTCGAACTTATATTACTTGAATTGCTATGAGCAATCAGAATCTGGTAGTATTATCTATAGAGCTGATATTGAATATAAAATCGAATTCAGTATTTATCTAATCACATCTTTTGATTGCAACCTAAGTGTTCCCGAAATTAATTCGTTATAAAAAGTTTACATTGATTTTGTATCAGTTATAACGTCGTAATAATAAAAAGTATTGATTTATGCATTTACCTCAATTTACGTTGTGGGTTGACTTAGACTAGGTAACCAGTGAAAACTACAATGAACTAAATACTTAATTTTACCTAAGCGTGGAACTCTTGAGAAGTACCTAACTACAATCCTATCAAGCCCTGAATCAATAACCATTACGATTTGCTAGTAGGAAATTTAATTTTGTCAATGAGGTGGGTTTCAATGGCTTTCATCTCTAACTTCAGTTAATTCCCTATATTGCGTGAAATTCATCTATTGTTACTGACAAAACCTCTCTGATTCATTGAATGATTGAAATTCACCATTTATAGCTTCACATAAGAACTTTAGTAATCTCTATCAAAGTAAGTCACTTATTAAAGGATTTTAGTTAGCCTGAATGGGTACTATCAGCTATTTTATCTGCATAAATGTACATATGTTGCATTTTTGGATGTGTGTTTAATGCTCTCATTTTGTGGAGATAAATTACGATGATATTTAGAACAAAGCATACAATTTAACTCTTATCATTCATTCTCATAATTTACTGATCTACATTCATTGATATTAGGACAAAACATTCTGTATTAACTGTGATGTCGATCAGCTGCAAGTTACCAGTTTTACGTTCTCATATGTATATTAGATCAGGAGTACTAGCTTAGAAATTCCTAATAAATAGTTAACCTCACTAAAACACCAAATAAGCAGGTAGATGACGCTTTCGTTTTTTAATCATTCTCACCGAGATTTGAGTTAGAGCAAAATATTACTCCTTATTTTAAAAGGTAAACAAAAAGATCATAAACATCCAATTTATACAAACCATAGCTAACTTTTATAAAAGAACACTTTTGTTAAACAACTAACCTGGAGTGGGAGCACATTCGTTAGTATCAGCTATATGATTAGCTTCAAGTCTAGTAAATCTGTCAGGATTCCATGAGCAGTAATCTTCTTCCAGACTCAGACTACTACCTTCATCTGATCCATTATCTTTACCTTTATTTTCACGTAATCTTCGTGGCAAGAAAGCGTCATCATCAATATATGGTACATCGTAGGCACCTTCTGGAATACCCTCCTCTAAACTTCGTACACTTATACTTTTGTCTACCTTAGATGGTGTTACTGAATCTGGATACAAGTAATCGTCATTAACAGATGGTTTTGGTTGCAGGCGTCTTTTACGTCTAAATTCATTGCGTTCCAGGGTTACTGATCTTTTCTTAACATCACTTGTATCTATATATGAGTATCTATTTTCATTAAATTTGGATTTACTATATCTGTCTAATGTTTTAGTTCGTCTGGATCTATCATTCTTTTTTGATTGTCTCTCAACTGGCAGATACTTTGCAATTAATTCTGCATAACGTTGTTCAAACTCGGTTCTCTGTTCACCTTCTGAATTCAGGCTTATCTCATCAACATCATTGCGTATCCTCCTAAGTGCCGTATTTTTATTCACATCATTTAAAGGCTTGGATTCCAGTTGGTTGTTTAACTCTTCCGTAGTTGATTCATTTTGATTACTTTCATCCCTTAATAATTGATGTTCTTCAAAATATTTGGGTGAAATGTTTTCTACTTCATAATTACTGATACTATGTTTATCATCATCATTGGAATGCTGCTCTGTTACGTAACATTTCACTGTTGACCTTTTATGTACTTTAGCGTTATATAATTCATCACCTTGAATATCTACAGCGATATTCAACGGTTCCGGTCTGTCATCTGTTAAGTGCTCAACTGTCTGTAACTCATTGATAAGATTTTGTGTAGCGTACAATAATGGACCACTTTCCAGTCCATTTTCTTCACACATATCTTTATCAGATAATGAAATTCGGTTTTTTATTTCATCGATTTCAGTATGTTTTACGTCATTTATTGATGGCGAGTTAGTTTGTTGAAGATTTGATGAGTCACTATTCATCGGACACTGTAAACGGTCTTGTTTTCCAACATTACCTTGATCTTCAGTATACAGTTTGGTTTTGTCATCGTCATAATCATATTTATTAAGGTAATCTGTAATGATATCAGCTCTGAAATTTTGTTGTTCTGTCGTATGATTCGAACTAGGGGAAGGTGTATTTATGATATCACTGTTGTCTCTTTCTTTATGATGGGATTCAAACTCTGTAGTTGTCTGTTCTTCTACTACAGGAAATTCGACTTCTTTTGAGTGGTCTACAAATGAAGTATAATCTATGGTATAAGATTTAGATGGTACATTGCATATTTCCTCTTTATTATGATCTACTTGAATGTCTGACTGTTCCTCACTTCCATTATTTGGTTGATCAACTGATGTAGATATATCGTAATCAAATTTTGTTTCGATTTTCTCATGAGGTGTTTGAATAATGCCTTCAACACCACCTATACTAATCCTTCTTAGATTTTCATCTGTTTCGTCATTTACATCATGTACAATAAAGTCAAACGGTATATCATTTTTATCAGTGGGAATGTGTTTACCTGGTTCAGTTAGACTCATTACTTCTTGTGGTGTGATTCTCTCAAATGACTGTTCGGATTTTTCATTTTCCTCAGTCAAGTGTACGTTTTCATGATTTTGAGGTATAACTTTTTCTTCAGTAAAATTATCAAACGACTCTTCGAGTACTGTTTCACATTTATTCCTGTCTATTTCATCGTTTTTCAAACTTGATAAACTTGTTACTTCTAAAGGACTATGTACATCAATCATATCTTTACTTTCTCTTATATCCGAAAACTCTAACTTTGCAGCATTCATGTTACTTTCACCTTCTCGGTCGTCTATAATATTGGAATATGTCTCTGATTTATCACTAGGAGGGTAATTTTCTTCTATATATTTTTCAGTGGGATCATTGTAGTCAGTTATTAAAGCTGTAGGTTCTAACTCTTCTACAGAGGTATGTTCAAGGAATTTACTTGTGTAAAACTCTTGATCACATTGATTACTGGACTTTGAAGATTCCAAATTAAGTTTTCTTTCTTCGTCGTCATTCATCTGAAATTCTGTAATATCATTATGAGATATTATTTTCTCGTTTACACATAATTCACTGGTATTATGTGATTCTTTATCATTATTCTCATTTACATTTGGATGTATTTCTTCACATTCTAATTTCAAATTATCACCGGATCCAATTTGTGTTAAATTTTGTGTTTCAACTTCAGTTATTAGATCACTTTTGTTATCTATGATATATTCACTTGATGATTCAGTTACATTTACATTATCATGTTGATTTGAATCATCTAATTTATGTTCACTTGTTATTGAGAAAGGAATATTCTTGTCAGAACAATCTACAATATTTTGTTCTTCTTGATTTAATTCCTTATTTATCAAATCTTCAACATCATTATTACTTGTGATATTAGATGAATTTGCCATTACAGGATATTGTGATCTATTTAAACTGATCTAGATCAAGATTTATTGAATTATTTGTCAATTAAATCAATAAAGTTTGATTTATTTTATGGTTCTGATATTAAAATTTGTTAACAATCTTTTGAAGAAAGAAAACAACATAAACTAAGAAGTTACACTATAAGTATTTTCCACAATTAAGTTAATCCACTATCACATAGATAGATCAATTCCACATGAGAATTTTAATAAGGACAATCATCATGTCAATAATCATAATCATAATAATCTTAATATAAATATATTTAGAAACATTTTTATTATTAATCCATTATAAATGCAGATTATAATTTTATGTGTAATTTATTAATTTTCATTTTACTTTAATATGATTGGTCATATACAAATTTATGTATTCAAGGGTATATACAACTTTACATTATCAATGAATTACATGTAAATAAGTTATGAAAAATTCATTTCCGTTCTCTTTAATTTTGTAATACATATTTATAACCTAATAATAATGATAATAATAATAATTTTATGATTTAATTAAATAATATGAATCCTTGAAAGTGTTTAATTCATATTTAATCATAAGTATTATATAGGACAATCTTATTATTATTATCTTAAATGAGCGAGCAATCGATGAAAAATGTAAGAAAAAAAAAACACTTTAAACCAATCAAATTGTTACCATAACTATTCTAACCAATCATATTAATCCGTTAAACCTTTTGATAAGAGTGAAGAAAAAGAAAAAAAACAAACGAACAGAAACTTTTATGTGGCTTTTTTTATTCTTTCTTCTTTTTCTAAAATAGAGAACTGAGTATTTTGAAGTAAATAATTACTGAATAGATTATCACATAATATTATTACATAATAATAAACTATTGGATAGTATTTTTAAACATAGATGGATAGTAGCTAGCAGTGGAATCCAGGATGCGCGTCCCGTCCTATTTGGGACTAGTCAGTTGGATGTATCTGTATCTCAGAGTTGATGTTCACTCTGTGACTAGAACCCAGTACTATTCGCTTCGAACACCATCTCGTTATACACTTAGCTACTCGCGTTATGGATTGCATTGTTAGCCGCTATCCATCTTTGTTTAGAAAGCTTTTGGCTTAAGACCAATATCGAGGCAATCTGCACAGGATACACATATGCCAACATGAGACTGACCAATTGCAGTCCTAAATAATAATGGGAAGATACAAGTAAAACAACACCAAGTGAATTTAGTGAATAGTATGTCATTTATTGTCATTTATTCAACAATCGATGTATGAAGTATAAATAATTTAATTCAATGGTGAACAATCATCTAATTCTTATGACATCAGTATAATAATCACTGAATACCTTTAATATTATATAAAGTTGATTTTGATATAATACATAAAGCATTGGAAGTTACTTACTAAATGTTTAGTTTGTTAAAATGATACTATTTTTTGTAAATAGATTAATGTTTTCTGTCAAATAAAACAATTGTTTAGTTTGAATATATTGTCATTGTCATCGTTTTTATGATGATAGATTTTCTTTCTTGTCTTATATGTATGAATGAAAAGAGTTCAAAGAGAACAGAGTACTATTGACAAACAAACATTTTTGTTCTAAACTAATATAGTATAATAAAGCAATTTATAGTTTATTATTTTTGTGTCCTTATTTTCACTGAAACTGTTTTCAAATGAAAATGGATTAGATAAATTGAGAAGATACAAAAGATGTTGTTAAAACAACATAATTCTCTTGTTTTACATTAAGAAAAAAGTAAGGAATGTTTATAATATCAAAATGAAAAAAATCAGTCAGGTAACTAATGGTCGTGCAATACAAATTTTCGAATATTCTTTGGTTTTTTGACCTATTATTTTTAGGACACTACATATAGTCGTCATGTTGAACCGTATGTTTTGCAAAAAGAAATATATTGACAGAAACATGTGTATATAAATTTGCGATGGACTAGAAACATTGTAGATTTGACAAAATCATTATGTTAAATGGACATGGTGATTTTTACTCTAACAAAATTACCACACAAGACAAAAAAAAATGGACGCAAATGTTAAGTGGCCAATTATCACCAAAGATTATTTAGAAGAAATAACTAGGGTAATGGAGAATATTTACAGCCAATGAAAACTGTTTTGAAGTTGTCCCGTTCCCTAAGATGGTACGAACCATCCATCACCTCCTAAAAGACCTTATTGAATATACAACTCTAAGGATGTCGTGTCAAATGTATCTAAACTGAACATTGCATTTGATGTTCTTTAACATCATTGTAATATATTTTTCAAACCATTTTCGATGTTTCAAAACTTAACATAAAACTAATGTTCTAATTATACGGGGTAAATAATCGGTTTTTTTAGTCGCAATCTTCATACTACACTTTACTGAGAATCGGCTAGGAAATATCGCTACAATTCAAATACATTCGTACACTGAATTAAAATGTTGCAGTCAACTCATCCTCAGTACCATTTGTACGCGGATGAACAGGCTTAAAGTTTGAAAATGATACATTTTTCAATTAATATACAAACCATTGAAGTATATTTTAAAGAAATCAAATAACTTTTATCTAAAAATGTTTAACAGAACTGAGCTTTAAATTATCAGTCTTTAATGTTTATAAATATTAGTCGAAATATTTCTAAATTAAGGTGAAATAAACAATGAAATACAATTTACATTACTTTCTTTAACAGTTTTCTTCCAGATAAACTCATTAGAATGAGAAACAAATTTCGTTTATTTCCGTAGTAATTTAAGATCATTAATCAGCTAGACAATTTTAAAATGTTTATCACATTCATAAATTCTTATTTAAACTTCTATTAGATTGAATTTGGTGGTTAGGCGCTCGTGTGTGAGGCTGATATGTTCTGGGTTCGAATCTCGCATGAGGTGAGGTCGTGGATGCGCACTGCTGAGGAGTCCCATACTGAGACGAAACGGCCGTCCAGTGGTTCCAGATTTTTCATGGTGGTCTAGCTTCAACTGACTTATGATCTCAACTATTAAATTACTATAATATCCACAAAATCCCTCTCTGTTATTAGATTGTTAAATGAAGCTGATAAGTTAATTTAGTACTGAAAGGGTTATCATAATCATTTTCTTATAAAAATGTTCTTGATAATTTGGAGGAATACATTCATCATTGTCAAATTGATGAAATTATCGAAAACTTCCTTTTTGTTCCACTAATATAGACGTCTTACCAAATCTTTATCAAATGGTTTTGTACACAGCATAATGTAACCTAAAATTTAATCAGTTATTGAAACATTAGTATGGAAAAGTGTTCTTTTTGATATGTTTTTATGTAACTATAAACTGAGAAAAGCGCCAAATGACGATGAAATTGTCTGAGGTGGTTTTACTTAATGGGTTTTCATAGTTGAATTCTTGACTTTTTTCAGGACAGATTACTAGTTTTACGGATAGTTATACCATGTAAATAATCTAAAAACTGAAATGAAAAATATTACCGCAGGTCATTTTAAGCTTGAAATTATTAGCTAACAGAAGCAATTGTTCAGAATGATGTTCAAACAAAGGAATGTTGAATGATCTGAGACAACAGTTGTCTATTCTATTATGTCAGAGTACTTTTTGAGTGCATACATTGATCAGTACATGAAGCTAAATAAATGAATGGTATTACAATAAAAAGATGTCTGTTTTAGAATTTTTAGTATCCAATGTTACTCGATTACATGATATATTCATGAGGATCATTTAGTAACTTACTAACAAACATACGATGTCCAACCACTAAAATCCACTGATCGTGTACCATTAAGATTTTAAAGTCGAAAAGATCTGCAGAAACTACGTTTAAACTGTAAATTTTGTTTTTGTATTTATATAAACTATAAAAGATCCATTCAAGTGGTTGTTAACAAAAATTTATAATTCTACATATAATATTTTAAGCAGTTTCTTTTTATTATATTTGCATAACAAAATTATAATAATGAGAATAAAGATACTGAATAATGAAATAAATATATTACCTCATTTTTTTTTCAAATCTTAGACTATGATATTTCTCAAATGATACAGAATTTAAAACCTGTAACCATATCTGTTTCATACCAAGTACTTATGCATACAATATGCTATTTATTTACTATACTCGTGTTCAACTTGAGTTCGAGATTTGTATATTTCACTTTTTTACTGTTGTTGCCAATAATAATAAATCATAACATATCCAGTTCTATGTAATAAGCTGAAGAAGATATGCAATACATCGAATACTATTCTACTGATCAAAAATCATCTAAAGAATGACGATATCAAGAATAAAATAGATTCATGTATTCATAAGGGAATCGAAGATTATGAATACTAATAATATATAGGGTATTTGTTATATATTAAGGAGTAGAAAGATTGTACTTATGACGCTCCTTAACTCATTGCAAGCCACTTCTTCAGAGTAGGAAATGGCTTACATTGATTCATGAAACGTCAGAAATACAATTTTCCTATTCATTGGAATATAGCAAAGGACATATTTATTGTTAACTTTCTGCTCAATCATCAATTTATTTTGAATTTATATCAGATGGGTTTTGTGGATATTATAGTAATTTAATAGTTGAGATCATAAGTCAGTTGAAGCTAGACCACCATGAAAAATCTGGAACCACTGGACGGCCGTTTCGTCTCAGTATGGGACTCCTCAGCAGTGCGCATCCACGACCTCACCTCATGCGAGATTCGAACCCAGAACATATCAGCCTCACACACGAGCGCCTAACCACCAAATTCAATCTAATAGAAGTTTAAATAAAAATTTATGAATGTGATAAACATTTTAAAATTGTCTAGCTGATTAATGATCTTAAATTACTACGGAAATAAACGAAATTTGTTTCTCATTCTAATAAGTTTATCTGATAGAAAATTGTTGGAGAAAGTAATGTAAATTGGATGTTGGCCCATCGGTCTGCTGGTTAAGTGCTCGCGCGCGAAACCAGTAGTTCCTGGATTTGAATCCCGCAGGGGGCGAGGTTGTGGATGCCACTGCTTTAGAGCCACATAATAAGACGAAACGGCCTTCCAGTGCTTCCAGGTTTTCCAGTGTGGTCTAGCTTTAAATGACTCATGATTTTAACCATTGAAATTATTTGGAATTATCAAGTTCACCCCTGGCATTAATGTTTGCAAACTTATTGATACTATTGTTTTAATTACAACATTTTCAGTAACAGTGAAATATATATATATATATATATATATATATATATATATATATATATATATATATATATATATATATATAGTTAATATCTCCTAAACGTAGAACCAATGTATCGAGCATATTTTTCATCATTCAGAATCGGGCTTATTTTAATTAAGTCACGCGTATAATTTAATAGATTTACAAACAACCATTAACCAATTACAAAATATCAAATCAGGAAAAGGTAAATAAACAGAGTTTTACTTTCAATAGGAATCTACTTTCAAGCTTTGATATCTTAAATCTTTAAATCGTACAATAACAAATTGGATGTATGACAATTACATCAATATAAGTGT